TAAATGGGAACTGCTAGATCAGGGATGTCAAACTGCTGGCTCGCAGGCCAGATGCATCATGCCAAAACCGCGTCCACCCCATTACCAGCAATGGAGAAGAAGTTGCGATACAACAGTCACGCGACGTTGCGAATTTGACACCCCTGTGCTAGATGTTTATTGTTGCTGACCATAGAATGTTCTCATTCTATAATTAGCATTTATTACTTACCAGGGTCATGAGTTTTAGTGGGTATAACTAATACAAAATGGATGAGCTCTAGTTATTTTGCAGTAGGTCAGTAAACACCATTTGGTTGTTTTGCTGTTTGCTCGCTCTAATTTGACTTTCATTCATCTAAGGACAAATGTGATTTTAAGAAGGGCAAAAAATATAACAGGCTATACTCTTCAAAATGCTAACCTCTACTTAGTGGGAAGATGTCATTGTTTCAAGAAAGATCTCTGTAATACATAATAATGATTTGACCAGATTCTTGTAATTTAACCAAACGAGGCAAAGAAAGACATGTAGTTTCTATAATCTGATTTCCTTTTGAACCACTGACACCTTTTGGTAGGTACATTAGAGATGAAGTATATATTAAAGTTCAGGTCCAGTCATTGTAATACTGATTGCAAATAACTCTGTAGTTAATCTTTTGGCTGATTATTGTAGACAGTGATCATCTTCCAAACAGTATGAGGTGGTTGCCCTAGACATTTCTTTTGTAACAGAACAATAGCTATGTAAGATCATAAATATAATTCCAAAAACATGAGAACTATTGTGCAAACTATTGAATCTTATTCAGTTTGTAGCCCTCCAGGTGTTTTGGTTACAACTACTCCTTTTGCAAGTTACCATGAATTTTGTTCTTGGGCTAATAGGAGTGATGGTCCAAAACATCTAACCATCTAAGGGTCATATTATGGAAACCAGTTTATATCAGCTACAAAATCCTTAACATCTGATAATTTTATTATCATTTTAGGCTAAAAACCTTTGCATATTTATGTATGAATAAATTCCACTGAAGGACGCTCACTTAAAGAAGTGCTAAATAGGTTTACATCTTCTCATAAGAAAAAATTGAAATTCAAAAACAAAAATGGAATTTTGTTTTTTAATTACAGTAAGTTATATTGCATATACAGTATTGCAAACTCCACTGGCATTCTCATCTACTGAAACAGCCTCTGTTTACAGGTTTCAACAGTCATGAATAATTATGTAAAAATAACTCATAATTCAATAAAAATACAAGATTCCTTCCGTAAACATGGTAACCCTTGGATCTTATCTCAAGAAAGAATACAGTATTTAAAACAAAAATGAGGCTAAATCAAGGATAAAGTATATGTATTGAGTTGCCATTGAAACAATTAGCAATGTCTTAAGCTCTATAACAAGTCAATTCCAGTAATTTTGCTAGCCAAGAGCAGTTCCATTAAGGTTGACAGTTTTCCAGCCAGAAACAAAAAAATTACATGCCAAGTGTTATATAAGAGACATTTTCAGTGCTAAGTGAATATGATTCAAATTGTATGTTTTATATATTTAAATTATTTAGCAAATATTTGGTAACATATTTATTCAAACTTTAGCACATTTTCTACATTTTGATAAAGTGGATAGTTAGCTTGCTGTTGAATTTCAGTGATAAAAATTGAGTTATCTAAAGCCAATGCAATGCATAGAGGGCTGGTCTAGCACAAAGTCTTATCCACCAAGCCACTCAATTATGAAATTTCTATTTTTCAGCCTGATCTCACATACAGGAATTTTATAAATATAATACTGAAAGTAGAATAAGTGAAGTCAGGGCATTATTCTAAATTCTGGCAAAGAAGACTAGCATAAACATAACAAATGATTTTGCTTTAGTTTTGTTTTCCTCTCTGTCAATAACTTTCTAAGCTGAATAATACTGTAGCATTTTAATTTGGCAGATCTTTTTTAAAGGCTTCTTGATTTTGTACTAACATTTATTGACATCTCTCTTCTGCTCTCTCTAAAGCAGGAAGACAAGAACTTTTAGATAGCTTAGTAAATAAAGACACCCAGCTCTTTTCTTTGTACTATGAATAGGAACAAATGACCCCTGCAAGGATTATTTACAACTTCATTTTGTCTCTCACATTCACCATCCTGGAAGACATCAACTCTGTCCCCTGCAGTGCTCCACTATGAGCCACTAGCCAAATCAAACTATCACAGTCTGTAAACATTTCTTGCATCCCACTGCGATTTCCAAAATTACATTTTCTGTGTTCCCTATAAACAGAAAAGCAGAGGAGTTTCTGTTCATCTCAGAAAAGGGTTTTTTCTCATGTCCTAGAATGTGGTCTGTTAATTGCTTTACTAGGAGCAAACTTGGGTCATCCTTTGAGAATGAAGTTGTTATAAAACAGCTATGTTGACAGATGGTACAAGTGGCATCACTAATCAAATCTGCCATGGTGTTTTCATGGCAATGGGGAATTATCACTGTGTCAGTAAATGGAAGGCTTATTAAATGTTCTGTTCTAAGCAGAAAATGCATTGTAATGATAGCTTGTGGAGTCATAAATTGGAGATGCAAGAATGATTATATGGTCCATGACTGATGGGTCTGTGATATATGCCTTGGAAACATTTTGCAGATACCTTCATTTGGAGCCAAAGCCATCTTGCTTCTCTAAAGCAGCATTTCAGTGAGGTATTTAGGCCCACTAGTGCATAAACAGTGAATGTTGAACAAGCAGGTTCTTAAAACCATTCACTTCCTTGGGGTCAGCTACTTCAACTTAGCCTTACAAAGTATTTTTTTTTTCTGTTTGGCTCATGCAGTTGAGCCATACAGTTAATAAACAAAGATTATCCACTTCAGTAGGGACTTCAGTTTTTGTAGATAGAACAGGAGACAAATACAAGAGTAAATAAAAAAACATTTAATATTGCTAACTTAGTCTAGTGTCTTTTCTGTCATCCACGTTAACTTCCTTTTTGTGCATTTTCTGAATTACAGAATAAATCCAAGCTTTTTTGATAGGCTTTGAAAGCTGAGCAAATCAATAGCTGAATATCCAAGCCACAGTTTATTTCTCTGTATGTACACTGACCTTTTTATGTCAGTACTAGGTAGCTCCCAACCAAGCTTATTATATTCTTAGTTTCTGAGTGTAGCGTTCTGAATAGACAAAGTGTGTGGTATGGATAAGGAGACAGAACCTTCTCAGTTAAAATGTCAAAGTTGTGGTCGCCAGTCTATTCAATGGGCATGTGCAATTTGCATCTGCTACTCTAAAACTGTTTAACTTATACTTCTGAACTCAGTATACACACACACACACACACACACACACACACACCCTATTGCTATGTACATAGTTATTTCATTTTTCTCATGCAAGTTCTAAATATTGCTTTTAAAGGGGTGGTCTATTTAGTTGGAATCAAGTTTTCTTGAAAATTATTTGTGACAAAGAAAATAAATATATGAATACTTTTAAACATTAAAAATTACAGCTAAAACACATTCTTGTTTCAAAATTCTGCTGGTTTAATCCTTATTATTGGAAGCTGGAAATATATTGAGCTTGATTTACCAAATGTAGCAGTATAAATTGATTCATATTGCCACTCTAGGATATCAAGTTTATTTTATGGCAATTCCTATTTTATTAGTTAGAAAGAGTACAGAGAAGAGCAACAAAGATGATTAGGGGACTGGAGGCTAAAACATATAAGGAATGGTTGCTGGAATTGGGTATGTCTAGTTTAATGAAGAGAAGGACAAGGGGGGACATGATAGCAGTGTTCCAATATCTCAGGGGCTGCCACAAAGAAGAGGGAGTCAAGCTATTTTCCAAGGCACCTGAAGGCAGGACGAGAAGCAACAGATGGAAACTAATCAAGGAGAGAAGCAACCTAGAACTAAGGAGAAACTTCCTGACAGTTAGAACAATTAACCAGTGGAACAACCTGCCTCCAGAAGCAGTGATTGCTCCAACACTGGAATTTTTTAAGAAGAGACTGGACATCCATTTGTCCGAAATGGTATAGGGTTGGACTTCATGACCTCCAAGGTCCCTTCCAACTTTATTTTTATTATTGTTATTGTTATTGTTGTTGTTATTGTTGTTGTTGTTGTTGTTGTTGTTATTATTATTATTATTTATTCTCAGCTGTTCTTCCAAGAGCTTGAAAAGACATACCTGGTACTCTTTCTCAACGCTGTCTTATAGCAACAAACCTTTGGGATAATTTGTCAGAGAGAGACAGTGACTGATTCAAAGCTATCCAGCATCCATCTCTAAGAGTATACTTGAATTTGGTCTCCTTGATACTAGTCCAACATTTTAGTCTCTCTGTCATGCTATACTGTTATGAAGAATAATTGTACCAGCTTTTTTAAAAATATATTCATTACCTATCATAAATTGTATTTTGCAAAAATTGGCTTCATTAATTTTAGTTAATTCGGATTAATGATTACAAGCAATGAAAAATGAAACTTAAAGCAAAGAATTTCCTCTAAATTGCCATTGAGAGTCTTTGGAATGGGTTCAACACCTGCATATCTTTTGCAGACAGTAATGGATGCCTTAGTGTCTTTGATCATCTACCATAATGAAAAGAAGACTATAATGTACCTGGTGAATTATGGGAGGGGAATGCTGTATTTTAAATATAGAAAATGAAGAAAAAATCTGGAGAGAATAAATTAAATTAGTTTAAATCCACAGAATGGGGATCAATCCTTAATCTACTATGAAGTACAATGAAGTTATTAACTATCCAGAGCAAAAAGCAATGACATTTTAAATTGTCTAATCATAGAAATTAATTCTTGTAGGAAACATTAATCATTTTTAGTCAAAAAATAATTTCAAATGAAGTGAATAACCTCTTAATCATACAGATTTAGCTGCATAGAAGTGAAGTTGCTTTTTCTCTTTTTTCTCCCTCTTTTCCCATCTAATCCATGTTTCACTGGCACCTGATTGATTTTAATCTCTTCTTCTTCTTTTTTAAGATGTTCCAGTGGCTTTGATCGTCATCGTCAAGATTGGGTAGATAGTGGTTGCCCTGAAGAGGTGATATTCAGATATCCTATATTTATTAGTATATTATGAATATTGATTCTTAAAACGAAGAGGATATCTTAGACTTCTCTGAACAGTTTTTAAAAGCAGTTTCTGGATTTATCCTTTCCCTTAGAAAATCACTGTTGGCAGGTGAACATCTGTTCTGTCACTTACATCATGAGCACCCGTGTTGAATCCAAATGTACTTCTCTGTGCCCTAATTGCATGTTTTGAATAGGAAAAACTAAATCAGAACTGTCATCCCAAATTGAAATAAGTTTTTATCTAGCTTGGCCATTGTGTGATGGGAGAATATTACAATTATTGGACACATTTACCTACTTTTTCTATTAAAAAATAGCATTGATATATACCATTATTTTGTTTATTAGTTTGCTTGGATGTCAGTATTGAAAAAGAACCCAGAAGTACATTTGATGGGAAAGCCTTAACTTGATTTTGTGTATAAGTGAAGTTTTCAAGGATGAAATTAAGAGATCTGAATTTTAACCCTGGATTCTGCATGTATGTATATAATTTATGTGGCTCCTTGTTTCATGCTCATGTCTGCATGGCTACCAATAAATAAACACAGTATAAAAGCATAAAACAAAAAAAGAAACAACAGCATATAATATGCATAATCTACAACCAAGGTAAAAATCCACAACAAAAATCAGAACAACCATTGCAAGGCTCAGACACTAAGATTCCTAGGCTCTGTGACAAAACCATGTCTTTAAGGTTTTGCAAAAAGCCAGTAGGGGTGAGAACCAATCTAATCTCAGAGCCAAACCTCAGTTTGGGAGAAAAAAATACAATGAACTATTTCATTCTGGATTCTTTTTTCAGTTCTTTATTGGCAAATAAATGTTCTTATAATGTCTAGAAATTTGAGCTTCTCTACCATTTATTGAGACTTTAATTCTCTTTTAGCCTGAAAATATGCTATATTTATATTTACAAACTCTTAATTTAAAATTTCCATTTTCACATATTCTTGTGTTTGTGTTAGATATATGTAGAGCTCAGACAAATGATTTCTACTGAGAACCAATTATTTCCTTTTTTCATATTATTTTTCTTATGCAGTCAAAAAATAAGGTTTGTGAGAATACAGACACAACCCAAACTCCTCTTCATATCACAACTGCACTACAGCAAACCACAATGAGATACAGAGTTTTAACAACTACCAGAGGAGCCATTACATCACATCTGCCAACTAGTCTACCCACAGAAGGTAAGAAACTAGAGTTGAATATGTTATCAGAAATGTTTAAAATTTGCAGCATAATTCTATCATACGAAATTATCTACTCAGGAGATGTTGTTCTTCAGTAATACAGTTATGTTATGATACCAAAGACTGTGGCCCAAAACTGCCTATCACCCCTATAAACAAAATCTTTCTATAATTTATAATAATTAAGTTTAATTCTAATCCTGTTTTGGGTTGAAAATGGCTTTTGGTATAATTAAGTAGCATCAAGAGGTCCATAAACTAGAATACTTTCTTGGTTATTTAAACATTGACTCAATATTTTAGAACCAATGATTTGGAGTCATTGGGACCTTCTACACTGAAACTCTTATTTTTGAAGTATTTTAACATCCTTAGTGATCAAAAATACTATTGGAGATTATTAGCTTTCACAAAAAGGTATTTTACTATATATTTCCCAAATGAATTAAGTCCTGGAATAAGAGGACTGTGTGACTTACATGGAGTAGTAGTAGTAGTAGTAGTAGTAGTAGTAGTAGTAGTAGTAGTAGTAAATAATAATAATAATAATAATAATAATAATAATAATAATAATAATAATAATAATAATAATAATAATAAAGTTGGAAGGGACCTTGGAGGTCATCTAGTCCAACCCTATGACTATGTAACAGGATTGTGTCAGTTACAGGTAGTATGTAGTGTTTTCCTGACATGTTTAATATTAAATCAGTGTCTTATACAAGTGGGCAATATTCAGAATGAGAGACCTCTTTTGATAATGTAATGGTGATGATGTTGTTTAAAAGCCAGTAAACTGGAATGTTTTTAAAAATAATTAAAATAATATGCATAAATAACAAGAATTAGCATACCAAAACTACTCATAAGAAGGAACCAACAGAAATTATATATAAATATTTGTGAATATGGAAATATACATGAGAGCATAGAGGGGTGGGGTGATGAAAATATAAACTGCTGTTGAAAATGGATAGCATCAATTTGTACTTGAAAAATTGCATAATGGCAGCAGATCTGCCATTTCAATTTCCATGATGTGTAAACTGTTCTGTACAATCTTGTTTATTTTTTTTTAATAAAATAGAGCTTATTTATTTAACATGTACTAATTTAAGTGTAACTTCTTGGCTTCAATTCAAGAATCAATGGTATATTCGTGAGGTGGTAATTAACTCATTGTATTAACTATCTAGTCAGATATTAGGTTTTTTTCCTCTCTATCTCCATCTTTGTTAGAAGAGAATACAGGTAATCCTCGACTTACAATCATTTGTTAACTGACTGAAGTTGTAATAGCACTCAACAAAGTGACATGACCATTTTTCACACAAGCTTTGCAGTCACGTGATCAAAATTTGGACACTTGACAACTGGCATGTGTTTATGATGGTTACAGTGTCCTGGAGTCATGTGGTCACTTTTGCAACCTTCTGACAAGCAAAGTCTATGGGGAAGCCAAATTCATTTCACTGTAATACTAACTTAACAACTGCAGTGATTTCAAAGATGCTTTTTCACAAGGCAACTGGACTTTCTTGTTTTTTTTGAAGATGTTTCGCTTCTCATCCAAGAAGCTTCCTCAGTTTCTTCCGTTGTTAAAGCTACCTGGAGGCTTATCTTCCCACCCACTCAGTGGTATAGGTATATGGACGATACTTGGGCCAAGATCAAAACACAGGAATTGCAAGCATTTGCCAAACATATCAACTCAGTGGACAGATACATCAAATTCACACATGAAGATGTTAAGGAAAATAGTCTAGCCTTCCTGGACTGTGCTGTATACATTAAGGAAGAGAGAAGCCTTAACACTGAAATTTACAGAAAACCCACTCACACAGATCAATATTTACATTTTGATTCATACCACCCACTGGAGCACAAAATGGGAGTTATCAGAACCCTACACCACAGAGCTGAAGGCCTGCCCACCAGCAAAGAAGGAAAAGAAAAAGAAATAAAACACATCAAGGAAGCCCTCAGAACGTGTGGCTATCCCAAGTCGGCCTTCATCAAATCTCAAAAAAAGACCTAGCGGGAGATCCTCTGAAGAAAACAATAAACGAAGCAACATAGTCATTCCATAGGTTGCCGGAATATCAGAAAAGCTCAGGAGGATCTTCAACCAACACAACATACTTACACACTTCAAACCTAAGAATACACTAAGGCAGAAGCTTGTCCACCCCAAGGATAAAACATCCAGACACAAACTGAGCAACATGGTATATGCAATACAATGCAGCGAGCCATGTGCAAATCAGTACATTGGGGAAAGGAAACAACTTCATATACATATGGTACAACATAGGAGAACAAACCCATCAGGACAAGAGTCAGCAGTCCATCTGTATTTAAAAGACAAAGGCCACTCTTTCGAAGACAGCAAATTCCACATTTTGGACAGAGGACTGCTGGTTTGAAAGAGGGGTCAAAGAGGCCATCTATATCAAAACTGAACAGCCCTCTCTCAACAGAGGGAGAGGGATCCGACATCATCTATCTCCAGTCTACAACACGGTCCTTTCAACAGTTCCAAGAAGTCTCCATATCTCATTTGCACTACTCAGATGACCCTGAAGACACAGATAAGCCTTCAGTAGCTTTAACAACTCACTAAAAGAATGCAAATGAACAGCTTTCTGTAAGTATAAATCTTTCCATTCCCCACCATCCAATCAGAGCTGAATAAGCTTCTTGGATAAGAAGTGAAATGTCTTCAAAGAAAAACAAGAAAGTCCAGTTGCCTTGTGAAAAAGCATATTTGGGATAACTATGACCTGGATGACTGAGAATCTCAATAGACAACTGCAGTAATTCACTTAACAACTGTGCAAGAAAAGTTATAAAATGGGGCAAAATGACGTAACAATGGTCTTATTAGCAATGGAAATTTTGGGCTCAATAAATTGAGGACTATCTGTATCAAATATTTTTAATTTTGAATTGCCAGTGCTAGTTTAATAAAATAAAATTTCTGTTTTGCTTGTCTGTTGCAAGGCATTGTATAGTTATGATGTAGCTGGTTATTGTAAAACATTTCAACAGTATTTCAGCTACATAGAAACCTTAAGCTTTTCAATCCTGCAAAGATAATACAAATAGAAGTCTCTTAATGCAAAGGACTATTTTTGAGTGCAAGAACCTAAAAGAAAGGTTTAAAGACTGTCAACAGAAGCTTTTGAGCTTTATTTCTATAGTACTAGTTCTTAGCAGCCAGAATAATAGCAGAAAGCTGAAAGAGTTTAAAGTATCACAGTGTGAGGAAATGATTTAAAATGGTTGCCTATGCTTTAGAATTAAATGGTGCTAACTTGTGAAGATCAGACAAAATTCATAAAATTAAAATCTAATAATAAAAAGTACATTAGATAAATACTGCTCCTGTGGAACATGAAAGCATGTTCTAAACTCATATGTGAATTAATTTCTGCCATTTTTTTTCCACTGCACATATCCTGAATGAACTTGTTCCAGATTTTCATTCCAGAATTTTTTGGAGCAAAAGGAATGGTTCCAGGAGTACAAAATATTAGCCAGAGTTTAAGAAAAAAAAGTCTTTGCTTCTTTATGCTTGTTTACATTTTTGTTATTTCCCTTTTTGCTGTTCTGATAGTACTATTTTCTTCTTCCCTACAATATGATTCCAGCCATTCCAGAAAGTACAAGGAATCCAATATTATGGCATAATATTAAATATCTAATCAGCTTTGCTACCCAACATTATTGCTTAGAAAAGTGTTGGGGGTACAATTCAACGCTGGCATGGACCCTATCTCTCAAAATCCTTGCTCGGCTTAGCTGGGCCCTACCATGCAGGGAATTGTTACAAATAATTGCTTGGTTCATTTCTATTCTAATTTTCCCTCTACGAAAAGGGAAAGATATTTGTAGGATTTTCTGCCTCATGGGTTAGAATGTCTTCAATAGTATTAACCACAATGAATTTAGTCTTAGGCAGCAAAGTATTTTTGCTGGCTGTTGTTGTCTCTATTCCCACGCTTCCATATGCAGACAGGCTTATACCATCCAAAGCCATATCATGTGATTCAAACATACACAGCACCTTGAAGCAATGACTCTCACTGAGGTTAGGCAGACTGAATTTAGTCTGTAGGCCAGTCGTTCTTCGCTTTCTTAAAGCAAACCTATTACTTCCTCAAGGAGAGAAATGAATGTACATTTGAGGTTGAATGAGTGGTTCCTGTTTTCAGTGTTATAGCAATAGCACTTAGACATGTATATATGTCCTGAAGTATGGAAAGCTGACTCAATCTTGAGCTCATCAGGATCAAATTCCTGGCTGTGGGCAGAGTTAGCCTGCAATGTTGCATTATAACCACTAAGCCATCAGGGCTTTGATGATGTTCTACCATTCAGTGCTGACTGCTATTTCATGATGTGCCACCAAAGAGCCTCAGCAATAGAGGACATTCTTTCTCTTCACATGTAAAGGTATTGGGAAAATAAAATCTCTATGACCACACACACACCTCTTAGCCAAATTACATATCAGCTTCAACCCCCTCTGTTCTGTCAGCCAATCCTTAAAATAAGTGTGCTTTTCTGGCACCAGCAAACAACATAAAATGGAATCCCCTGAAGATAAGTGTTTTTTTTAAATACAGTACTACATCCCCTACAAAAACTGCGTATAAAACATTCACACCTAGAAGAAGAACTACATTTTTAAAATCTTCATGGTCCCCAATGCCACGGATGATTTTCCTCTCTAGACTTCACTGGACAGGAACAGCTAAAATTTACACAGCTAAAATTTCTCAACTCAAAGGCCATTACTTTTATGATCAAAGCCCATCATTATTATAAATACTTACACTCTTAGCTTCCTAAACTTTATAACCTACCTTTGATTGCTATACCTCATGTTATGTGGTTGAATAAACAACCCTCTTCAAACAGCTGCCCAATGTGCTTATTTGTGACCAGCTCAAAATCAGACCAAATAATTTTTCTAACTGAAGAATCAGTAATATTTTAGATACTTAGGATAAATTTCTTCTCCAGTGTTCAGACAGTTTTATTCTGACTTCCTATTTTGCCCTTTTCCCAATTGAAAAAGAGAAAAGGAAAATATTTGTCACATCATCTTAGCTCATTATGTATTCCTAAACCCATTTTGTAATATTGCTTTTTATTGCTATAGTATAATTCAGAAACCTTTGATATAGCAGTTTTAGAGATAAATCTTACCAATGACTTTGAAAGGGCATAAATCAGCTGTAATTAAAAATTTTGTATAATAGTCAATGGTTATAAACTCAGATCTTCAGTGCTAACATGAACTGCCTTAGAAACCTTTTTTAAATTCCTCACTGATCCATAGGACTACTCTTCCAACTCTTATTCAAGAGTGTCACATTTGTTTAAAATCATTTTAAACATATAACCCATTATGATTGTGGATCAATTACTTCCAGTATCAGTAAACCTCTATAAATGCAAAATAAATGTAAAATGCTATATAAACATAGCATTAGATGTTTAGATAAAATTCCTTTCTCTAATAGCTTTGAATTTCTTCTTCTAGATGATACCAAGATAGCTCTACACCTAAAAGATAATGGAGGTAAGAGCTGCTATTTTTTTGCATTCAGATTACATGAACAAATCATCTAAATGCCATTCCATAAAACCAAATTGCTCTAGCAATTTATCCACTTACCTATGCTACAATACTATGAAAGATATTCTGAGAGAATGCTTAGTATAGTCAGCTATCATAATTTGCATTACTCATTGTATCAATGAAGCAAATCTCTTTGACTGCTGATTTATTTTTAGAATATATATCCTATCTTCACCTAGACAAACAAATGTTGATATATTCATATTCAAATCACAGCACTTATTCATTGAATACAACAAAACAACAAGCACTTCTATTAACATTATCCATCTTAGATACCTGGTCAGGTCTTTTAGAGAAAGATAGGTTTGCTGCAGGACAAAACTTCCTCAGATGTTTGTATTTCTTTTTATTAATACACAACATAGCACATAATACCATAAAACTTAGCAGAATTGTGGCTTTTAGCAATATTTTTATATACTGGTTGGATTCTCTTCAGACCAAAATATTGAAAGATCATTTAATACCCATATGCTCCACAATAAGACAGAAGTTGAGAAATGGTAATTTGTACATCTCAGATGCCATGAGATTTGATGATGACATTTAGTTTTCAAAATAGTAATGCATGTCTGCAGGTATTTTTAATATGTTATTAGGAAACAAAAGATGGAGATACAGCATGATTTAATTTGCAGAGTATCTAAGTGGCATAAATAGAAGTAGACATTAATATTGTTTATTAATCTAGAAATAATAAGACATCTGGAAATTGTCTGTGCAGAGATATTATAATGAGTATTTAGCACAGAAAATGGCATGCCTCATTTTGTCAATGCAACAGATTATTGTATATGAGGAAAATAAAAGAGCTGAAATGAATTTGTGCCAAGCTTAATCCTTATTTTTCTCACAGCCTCTACAGATGACAGCACAGAAGAGAAGAAAAGTGCCACTCTACACACTGGCTTAATTGTTGGGATTTTCCTTCTGGTTCTGATAGTAGCTGCAGCAATCCTTGTTATTGTTTATATGTATCACCATCCCACCTCTGCAGCAAGTCTCTTCTTCATTGAGGTAAATTGTGTTTTCCACAATTGGTCTACAGCCTGCAGCATGGTGAAAAGCTAGCTTTCATCATCTGCCCTAAAACAGTGCAGTATTTTCAGACACCAACTAATATTAGCCTTTGTTTTTGCCTGGCATGTTGTTATTATTTGTGCTAAATGTACAAGCTAAGGGCATTTAGTTAAATGATGTGATAAGTAGCAGGGAGTATGTATCTTGATCTGATAAAGCATGCAGCACTTCATTGTGCCTTTTCCCCACAGAAAATTGATTGGTTTCTGTGCATGATTGCTGAAAACAATCTTCTCCACCACGATTCCCCCCCCCCAGCCTTTGATTCGTCTTGGAAATAGTTTGTCACGAATTTTGTGTGTGGTGATGAGCTTAATGACAAATGTAAATTTAGTATATTTATTTAGTTATCATGTTTATATCATACTGAATTCATATAGAAATAATCCATATAACTCTGAAATGAAACTTCTCAAATCTTGTGATATATAACCAAAGAGAGAAGCAACCTAGAACTAAGGAGAAACTTCCTGACAGTTAGAACAATTAACCAGTGGAACAACCTGCCTCCAGAAGCGGTGAATGCACCAACACTGGAAGTTTTTAAGAAGGGACTGGACAGCCATTTGTCCGAAATGGTATAGGGTTTCCTGCCTGAGCAGGGGGTTGGACTAGATGACCTCCAAGGTCCCTTCCAACTTTATTATTATTATTATTATTATTATTATTATTATTATTATTATTATTATTATTATTATTATTATTATATTCAGCTGGCCTTTCCTAATTCCAATTCAGAAGGATGTCTAGGAATTATAACATTGCTCTTTAGAATAACTGGGAGTGTCTATGAGGGACAAATGTTCTAAATGCATTTTACTGAAAAAGCAAGGAATAGAGTACCTTTAGGAATAATATTTTGGCATTGGGCCACTTGGTTAGAGGTAGAAAATACAATGTGGATAACTGCCAGATGAAAAGAGTGTTTGACAAATTGATAATTACTCGTTCCCATCAACATAAGGAAGATATTTTTAAAATTGAACAAACAAAAATAGCACCATCCTTTTCCTCCCCCTCAAATTATTTATCAAATTATTTCTCCTTCCCCTCTTGGAAAAAAAAACGTTTTTCTTTAGCAATAAAATCTTCACATCAGTGCCCAATCCAGCCTTTTTTAAAGGATAAAGTTTGTTGGTGTATTTGAAAAATGGAAAGAATTTCACATTTCTTTCCACTTTTATATAAAACTACTTATACCCTAATGTCTTCTTATTGATTAAATTATATTTAGGCTTCCCTTTATTGTCTTTAAAAGTGATTTGGTTGAAATATTTCTGTACATATTTCCTTTTTTCTTTAGTATACTCAACTTATAACCATTCATTTAGCAACACTTTCAAAGTTATAACAGCACTTGAAAAAAATAATATACACTCCTCAGTCTTCACATTTACAACTGTTGCCTCATCCCTGCAATCAATATTTGGGCAGTTGGCAACCAACATATAATTATGACAGCTTCGGCATCCTGGAGCCATGTGATCACCATCTGTGACTTTTCCAGGAGGTTCTGACAAGCAAAATCAGTGGGAAGCCAGATTCATTTAACAACCGCATGATTCAGTTAAGAATTTTAATGATACACTTAACCATGGCAAAAAAGATCATTAAAATCAGGCATTTGTCATTTAACAACTGCCTTGCTTAGCAACAAAATGCTGGTCTCAATTGACACTGTAAGTTGAGGACTACCCGTATGAATAACTGTGGTAATTATTCAGAACAATTCCAGTGCTGTGAATTCTTAGTGCCATATCTTCTATTCTAGCGTCGCCCAAGCAGATGGCCTGCAATGAAATTTCGGAGAGGATCCGGACACCCCTCATATGCTGAAGTGGAACCAGTTGGTGAGAAGGAAGGCTTCATTGTATCAGAGCAATGCTAGAATTATTCTGTGACAAATCACCAGTACTGGCCTACTGGTGTGAGAAGTTTATTCTGCCTCACATTTTAAAAAAGGAACTTGAAGCTGCTGCAACCTGAGGAAAATAGTTTGGATTTCTGGAGAAACCACAAGGGGGTTGGGGGTGGGACTAAATGATGACCTTTACAGAGTGTTTTGTTTCAGAGCCATCTGGCATACAATATGTCAGAAACATGCTTCTGAAACACATACAGTCTGAGAATAAAGAACACATTTGCCATGTTTTTTTTGGTTTGAAGAAAAGATATAGAATAATCCAGAAAATGTACCAACAGCTTTAATTCAGAAGAGTGCTTCCCTACAGTATTTGATGCAGTAAAGTAGTTTTATTTTTAACTTAAGAGGGTTTTTTTCCCCATGTCTCGAGGCAATCCCATAATTGATTAATCTGCTGGTGAGATAAACCTGATGCAAATAACATGGGTTACTCACTTTCTGTATTTCCATGAGTACAATCACTTTGATTTTCTAATACATAGCTATAAAATATAATCAGAACGAGAAAAAGTGCTTCTTGTATTCTGTAGACCTATACCTTTAAACTGCAATTGGCTAATCACAACTATAGTTCTATAGTTGACAAAACACTAGAGAGATTTGGAGGCTTTAGAAAAACAAAAAAGAAGAAGCAAGAATGTTTTTCACTGTGGTGAAATTAGGCTGTCCAAGTGGAATATATAGTGAAATTGGACTAATATTCAGTTTCACAGGAGGGAAACTGGGGTGCATGGGTGTGCATCACTTGATTAGAAATAAATCCCAGTTCACTGGGACTTATTGCTGAATAATTATACACAAGGCATTCAGGGAAGGAGGTTAAAAAAAAATCCAGATGGTGGCTATACCACAGGCACAGTGCTTGTAAAAGGAAGTGGGGTTTCAATCACATAATTGCAGTTGCCCTCTTAAGGTTTGAGAATCCTCTTGCAGATGAATCTGGCACAGAGGATTGGACTTCCAGCTTTGGGGGCATTGTTTATACCCCAGAAAGGTGGTCTAAAATAGAAGAGGTAGATATTTGATTAATATTGGAAAGAGAACAGCCTTGGAACACAGGAAAAAAAACAAAACCACAGTATACCTATAGCTAAGCCATGTCTTCATAATTCTCTAAGAGCAGAATTTTTACATCAGTGCCCTTCTTCCCTAGAAAAACATGAAACATATTTCAGTCCTTACAGATTCATGTAGAGATATTGTTTAATGCACATAGTAGCTGCATAAATATATATATATATATATATAAATATATATATTTTTATCACTAACACAAGGCAGGCTCTTGTGGCTATTGAGAATGCTTTTTTTGTCATCCTGACAATGGAAATAAATTGCATTGCTGCATATTTCCACTGAGTTGTAAAATAGTCCTTGGTATTAAAATAAATGTTTATGTTGCATAAGAGAAAGTGGTTCATTTAATTGCAGTGTGCTAACTTCGACTGCCTTTTAGAGCCACATTTTCTTTAACAACAAAATAAAACCTTTCCTACTCTCAGTGGGGAAAAATATTTTTTACAAAGTCACAATGAAATAATTCTCCAGATGGAAAATAGAAAATGTACCCTCTTAAAAAATTATTTAGATTTTTTGCAAATTTTGCATGGACAAAATTCACCATTTGTATTTTTACACACATAGTAATAGCACTTGGTTCATGTTAGGGTATTATCTGCAGCTTCAGGTTTCAAGTTGCTCAGTCACTTTCTCAGATAGCATCTTTATAACACAATCGTTTACATCTCATATCAATACATCTACAGTTCTTGTTTTTAAAAAAAACAACAGACTATAACACATGATTTTTACTTGTTATTTCATTCAGTAAAAATACTATTATGTATTTTCCTGTATTCATTCTTTATTCTGTTTAAACTGGTTTACTATGTATTTAGAATGTGCAAAACCCACCATTTGGGGAATTGAACAGCCAGAATACCATGTCAAAAAAACAACATAAGTGGCTATTGTTTTCAAGGCAGAGCCACCCTCAGAATACCACAAACCACTTCTGGCTCAGATTAGTTTTCAGAAACTTCTAGACCATCCCTGGAACAAGGGTTTGGCACATCATTGTTATGTAGTCACAGTTCATCAAGAGCATTGACTTGTGGCTGCTAAAAATCCAGGGAGTTGTAGTCCAGAACACCTGGAGGGCACCTAATTGGAGCAAAGTGATCAAGAATGTATTTATAAATTTTATAAAAAAGAATTTATAGGTATTATTATTATTATTATAAGTATTATTATAGAGAGCCAGTTTAGAATAGTAATTTAGATGGTGTAGAAACCAGAACTCTATGAGTTCTAGTCCCAGTTTAAGCATAAAAGCTGACTTTGTGACGCTCAGTCAGTCATTCTTTCTCAGCCTAATCCATCTCACAGGGTTGTTATTGTGGGGAAAATAGGAGATAGGACTATTAGGTATTTTCACTGCATATTAAAAATGGAATTAAACATTGAATAATAAAAATTTAGAAATAAACAGTACTGGCTTTATTGTGAAAATGTTAAAGCTCATTTCATTATTTTTGTCTCTGTAAATGAATTTTACCCTTTCCTGACCACAAAATCTTATATGAGGAGACTTCTTGTTCACTTCTGTGAGAGAGCCTCCAGACAAGTAATTTTATTATATTGTCTATGTATGTCCTTCAAGAAAGGAGAAAGTTTCTTCAAGCTTAGGATTAACTAGATCAATATTGCTCAACGTGGTGCCCTCCAGTTCTTTTGAGACTACAACTTCATTATTTAAGCTTTGAGTGTGTCATCATTCACAGATTAAAAGCATGTGCTTTTAAGTCAGCATTGGCTAATGTATGATCTTCAAAATACTTGGCTGGCACCACTATCATCTTTCACCATTGGCCATACTGGTTAATGAAAGTGGAAGTTTTTAAGCAACACTGGCATTCTTCATCTAAATGGAAATAAGCTCTGTAAAGTTCCTGTTGGTTCTCATATAACATAGTGGTAAGTATTATGGGTATTCTGACATCATGACTGATAGTATCAATTTTCTTCATATGTTATTCTACTTCATTACTATGATGCAGCAAAATATGAATGCTCATTCAGTGTGGTTTCAGAAATTATTAAATGTAAACAAAAAAAGAAAAACGTACAGCATATATATATATCTGTACAGAGGTCCAAGAATTCCATGTACAGGGAGCAAGTTCAAAGATAGTGGCAACAACAGTAGGATTAAAGGTCCGCCAATTTTTATTTGAATCGGGGGCATAAAAAATGGCAGAACCTCAGTCATACTATCGTTATCACTATTTTAACTTTTTTTTAAATCACATCCTATGGATGCTCCTGAATAGGCCAGTGCATTCATTTTGAAACAAATGAAAGACTGAAGAGCTACTCATTTTTTATAATCTAATTGAGCAGCAAACTCCACAAAGGAAAAACTAAGCAAAAGCATTTCTCTCTGTATTTCTGTCTCTATGTGTTTCTCTCTCTTTCTCTTCATTTCCATGCATTTTTGCAATTTTGATTGATTGAGTCATGGTTTTGCAGTGGTCATCAAGCCTGCAACTCTACACAGTTCACTGGAGAAGAAGGAGAAGAAGAAAAAGAAGAAGCAAAATGAATAGGTTGAGGCATCACTGTAGCTTCACAGAATTTTGACAAAAACTCTGAATCAAAGGGAGGGATGAAATAAAGTTTATCTCTCTGTGGCAGAAGGAACTGTGACCAGATAAGTGTGTACTTATTCGATATCCTGTTCAAATGATACTTGTTGGTAGGCAACTTCAAAGACCCTGCTTTTCTTTCCAATGTTTTTCCTAATTTAGTGAAAGGAAGCTGCAAAAGTTAGGGCTTACTTTCCATTTCATACTGTATATTGTCTCTGCCAAGTTTAGTGGAAAAAGTTCTAATTTTAGGAGTAGTGTAATATTTAATTCAATTAATAAATAACAACATACCATCCTGCAGAATAAAAATTGGCCATATACTGTACTTTATTACAATCTAAGAGACTCAGGAAAATTTCTTATGTTATGCAGTTTAGGCAAAAGATTTGCAAAACATTCCAATTTTGTATATGGTGTGATCTTAAATGAAATGTCACCTGATCAAGAAAAACAAAGTCCAACCCAAATCTTCCTCATCTAGATTTCTCTAGAAGTTTGTAGTTCATGGTCATTGATTAATAGTTGTAGAATGCACAACTGAAATTGGGGAAGGGTAGTTCAAGCAAAACCTAAGGATAATAATAATATGCAACGTGGTTAGGTGAAGGGAAAGCTTAATAACAAATCTTCTAGTTATTTTCCAATTCCTGAAATGAACTTTTAAAGACTGACTTCTCAAAGCCTATCCAAAATTTAACTAAGAAACACAAGGGAAACTGAAGGGGGGGGGGAGCATAAAGTTGGTAAAAGGACACAGATACAGAAACAACTAGAAGCAATTTAAAAAGCAGCTATGTGAGCATTGAAATAGATGCAGTTACTTTAATGATTCAAAGAAACTCACTGTATAAATACTCCCTCATGTTTCAAAGTATGTCTTTTGAGGGATTTTCACAGATCTATTAGATGGTGACTCATCTGCTGGTTCAATCTCAGGAAAGAAACGCTTTACATTCTGAGGAATATGTTTGATAAGATCTCCCTTAAAGGAGTGGGACCTTATGCCACCTCAGGTCTCCAAGACAATAGTAACTTGCTGCTCCTCACAATAGTTTTTTGGCTGAAATGTTTGCCTTCTGAGGTTTTCCTTATCAGAAGGGTTTCTGTTGAATCTTAAAAATATAGCTTTTGTATCTGAAAATCTTTTATTACAGTAAGTAGTTCAGAACAACAAACGCAAAATGGAAAATTTCTATAATAATCATAAAAATATAACAAGTAATAAAGAAAATTGTTTCAAATGAAACATTTCTAAACTATCGGTTTGTTCTTATTCAGAAGCACAAATAAAGGTGCCAATGTATCGGTTCGTGTATTGGTTCTAGGTGTGACACTTATGAAATTTAAATTTCATATCATTCTAGAGACT